AATTTTTTAAAAAAAACATTGCAATTTCCAATATTTTCCTGTATAAAGAACTAAGGTTGCTATGGTCCATCCATAGCCTATAGAGGATGACAGACTGTCATTGACAGTGACAGTTTTGTTGAATCATCCCATACTTGGACATGTCATATACATCTTTCAAAAGCTATCAAATTGTTTTTTGTAAATTAATGTGTTAATTTTGAGGTGTCTTCTTACTTTTAAAAATGTCTCCGACTGATGTTGCCTTTGTACTTCTTGTGATGTTTAAAACACTTGCCACGTAATACTGTGACCGTCTATCCTAGATTAAATTAATGGCTCTGGCAAGATCAGTCGGAGACATATCCATGGAAAAAAATGCATTTTTTAAAGTAAGAAGACACCTCAAAATTTAAACATTAATTTGCAAAAAACAATTTGATAGCTTTTGAAAGCCGTGTATGACATGTCCAAGTATGGGATGATTCAACAAAACTGTCACTGTCATTCTCCATAGGCTATGGATGGACCATAGCAACCTTAGTTCATCACACAGAAAAATATTGGAAATTGCAAGGTTTTTTTAAATCCATATTTTCCACAAAAATAAATATATCGAGGTGAACCAAAAACAAAACTGTTAAGAATAGATGTGACTTAATAATTAAAACTTAATTTAGAACAATATACGGTTTTGCCACTCTACAGACTGTCTTAAACTTATGGTAAAAAACATCTTTTTGTTTAAACCTGTATATTATAAACGTACGTCTATTTTTCAGTAATTTTTTGAAATGTGAGCGATTGTCCATTAATGTATCTACAATATTCTTTAATATTTGTTTAAATCCGAAATCAAATAAAAAAGTTATTTGCGATTGAAATTCATCGAAAATTTGTTTGGATCGATTATTTTGCCTGTGAGTGTATAATGCAATATTAAAATAATCTTCTTTGTCAATAGAATACTTAAAATAGAAGATGTTTTTAATGTCAATATGCCACTCTACAATATAAAAAATAAGCTGCTTTGTTTAAAAAGTAAAAGCTTTTAACTGATTACGGTCCTGTCGAAAAGAGGGACAGGGATAGACAGTGCAGGGAGCGGGTCGCGACGGGGGCTTAAAACAGTTTGGCCGGGGCGCGATGCGACATGCTTTCGACATTACGGTGATTGCTGGGGACGGTGACGACGCTGACGTCGGTTGCCCACATATCTGTTGCAGCCGTCCATGCTGAGCCGCACCGGTCTACAATCGCCGCCCCGCCACCCAACAAGGCTCAGGCCGCCACTGCCGCCGACGCTTCTGCTGTCACTGCCGACGTTGTTGCTACTTCGATCCACCCCTCGATGCCCACCGCCCACTACATATTATTGTCTCTTGTACTTTTATTTTCAGTTTCTTATTTTTAAGCAAAATACTCCCGTTTAAGTTGCCAGGCTTCGTTATTTTGCTTGACATAAGACATTTTTTCTACGCTTATTACGGAATTTGACAGTTCTTATATGACTTTTTAATCTGGAATTACGTATATTCCATTAAAGTGTTACAGAATAATTATTCCGCACATGTTCTAATGATGGAATGAGCACTGGGGGCGACATCTCTATGTTTATTTTATAACTCACTTGTATTCCTACCAAATCTAGTTTTTTCAGAAAGGCCCGGTAGAAAATATTAATCGGTAGTATACAATAGGATTTAAAACAGTTTGCGTTAATAAAAATACCCAATATATATCTTCTTTTCAAGCTAGTTGTAATTCTGTTTGGCCGATTTAGTAGGATTATATTATAATATTTAGGTTTGACTTAGTCCCAAAGAGATGGCAGCACTGGTTAATTGTTTACGTCTGTCATTAGTTAATTTGAAATTCAAATAATAACTTATTTGTCATTCCTTACAATTTGTCCATTTCTTCTTTATACTTCCTAATTTAGGTTCTGCAAAATTATGTAAGTAATTTTTATAAGCTTATTTAAAAATTATCTTATTTACTACCATCATAAAATCTAACATCTGTCAAAAGATAACCTAACTTTTTTCCAATTAAATTATTTCTCTGGTATTTTTTATAAGCGTAGAAAAAGTATAGTCTGAAACACGTTTGGAATACAGCATATTCCGCTCGAGTGAAAAGTTTGTCACACGAGCCGAAGGCGAGTGTGACGGTTTCACGAGAACTTGTTACAGAATATACTATTCTATGCAAATATTTGTTATTAAGTTTACAACTGTTATCTGTTTTTGTAAGTAGTTTGTAGTAATTATAATTATAATTATAACAAACATTTTGTAGATTGTCAATAATTGTCAATAATTCAACCATAATTGAGGCCTGTCATAGCAATACCGACAATCTCCACTTTTTGTAAAAAATTAGATTTTTGGCGGAGACTGTACTTCAACTAATTATCTATAAAATGATAAAGTTTATGTGCTGCAAAATCCCGCCTAAAATCCTATTTTAAAAATGACATTTAGTGCAAAGTCGACAATCTCCACTGATAGATTTGCAGCAAAGTATACAATCTCCAATTTCACCATTAGAAATTAGTAATTTGTGTCACCTGATATCCTAACATTTGATGTTATAACGTATTTTAGAGATTTAATTTTGTGTTTTTTTACTGATACATACTGTTAATTTCTATTGCAGTAAATTGCACATAAAAATATATTTAAAATAGGTATATATACGTTTTATTGTTTTAAAAATTATAAAAAAGTTATCTTTTTTATTTTGTGCTATTATACCATAATAAGACCTAAAGGTAAAGCAAGAGGCTGATAATGTCAAAACATTGCAAGTAAAACATTACGAGGCAATGTGGGAAGAAGATGATGAGTTGTTGTACTATAAAAACTTTTTTGCACGAGGCAACCTGGTCCTAGATTTAGAAGAAACTCCAGATGTATGTGGTCCAGTTCAGAATTTTCCCACATTGATTGTATAGTTAAATTTTATAACCATTAAAGGAATAAAAATATAATTTTTTTTGTTTATTTTTCTAAATCTCCTTAAACGTTTACAACAAAATGAGCAATCTCCAGCAATTCATATTAAAGTCAGCAATTATCTCAATTTACTCAGTTTTAGTCTGACGGGAGATTGTTGACTTTGCTCTGACAGGCCTCAATTCTTATAATTTTCAAGAAGGATCTTATTTTTACAAAGCTTTTGTTGACCCAATAACAAAAGTATTTGTTGGAAATTGGAAACTTAAATATATCTATATAAATACAAATGATTAATATTAAACTGTATATTTTATTTAAATGACGTGTATACACTTTTAAGTATAATTTTTAGAACCATACTCATAATTCTGTTTTTAAAACTATATTTCTGTAGAAACCCTGAAAATGACTATAATAGTCGAAACTAGTCGGTTTTGAAAATAAAAATAAAACATTCCAAAAGCAGGGAAGTGCCTTATTAATTTAAAATAATCTCCTTAATATATAATTATTATTATAAACCAAAAAAAAACACCAAAAACCGTTAATTTTTACGAGCTCATAATATTATGTATGAAGATATTACTAAATTTTCACATTTACTATTATTTTACAATAAACTGTCAACTAACCTAAAGCTGACATCCCGTGACTAAAAACCTGTTGCTAACTTCAGCCCGTGACTAAAGCGCCACAAAGCCATAGCTTGTCAATGTTTATTTAAAAGATCACTTAATGTCATGGAAACATGTACGATAATAGGCGTTTTAAAGGTGGTAGAATAAATAAATTATTTTCTTGGAACCTGTGCTGTAAAAAAATTAAATTATTTGTGAATGTGTCTGATTCCTCACAAAATCATAAATTAAATTTTGAAGACATTCTATGGAAACTCTTCAAATGGAGAAACTACCCTAATTAAAATAACCCTAGAGCCTTAAAATACGGTTTTTATGAAATTTGACAGCTCCAAATAATTTTTTTTTCTACTCCCACCTTTAAAACGCTTTATCGCACATGTTTCCATGACACTAAGTGGCGTTTTAAATACAAATTGACAAGTTGTGGCTTTATGGCGCTTTAGTCACGGGCTGAAGTTAGTTTTAAGTTAGTTGACAGTTGTCAAATGTCATACAATCGTTAAAATAAAGTGCCCTTTCTTGTAAAATAATACTAAATGTGAAAATTATTTTATTATCCCAATACAAAAATACAAAAGTATTAAATAGTTTCTCAACGCCAATATTTGAAAAGTTTATATAAACATTGTACTGACCTTTTAATTTCTCCGGCAGTAAACTATAACCTAAATTCGGGCACGGACTCATAAAACATTTTCTTTACTTTCCCTGTGAAAAACTGTTAATTTTCAAGAAATACATTTCGATTTATAACCTTTTTAATCTGTTTTTATAAAATATAAAAATTTGACATTTGACGGTGACACACAGATTTCCCTATTGTTTCATAGATGGCGCTCTGTACAAATTTTTGATTTAAATCATTTTAAGATAATAATAAGTATTTGTCGTAGAAAAAGTATAGTATGCACCTCGTTTATAAACTTTTCTATACACTCATTAATTTAAGCACTCGTTCGCAAGCTCGCTCGTGCCTAAATTAAATTCGTGTATAAAATGGCGTTTATCAAACTTGATACATAATATACTATAATAATGTTGCACTTACATTGGCGCAATATTTTTAAAACATTTTTTGTTTATTGAAAATAGTTCGATCCGACTAATATGGATAAGAACATTTGGGTTCTTATCTTAAATATCATAAGCATTGTTACATTTACAAGCTTAATTAATATTGAAGGTAATAACACAAATTAGTATTTAAAAAAATATATGCCAGCTATTATTATCTAATTGATAATCTTTGTTATAAAATATAGTTACCTATGAGGGAGTAGCGGCCTTGCTGTTAAAGAGTAACCCAATTTGTTTAGTTGTAGTGAACGTTTTTACAATTTGTTGCTTGACCCAGATAAGATCTTGATTAAAATGTTTTAAATTGGGGGTATTTTTTTCGCATGTTCAGTTCGCGTGCATTTGTCTCCTTAAAATGAAATTAGCCATTTTTTGTTTGGTCACGCTGTGTAAGTGTTTCACTAATTAGTATAATCAACATTGTTGTTAAGGAATTACAGTGGTTTGTTTGAATTAAGTGGTTTAGATTTATTTTATTTATTCGGATATATTTTTAAATTATCTAATTAAATAATGGTGCTGAAGGGGAAATTTATGCAAGGTTTGGAGAAGTTTAGGAGCATATTCTACTTTAACAAATATGAATATAAAAGTGTCTATATGAATAGGGTTCTAAACTTCATGTTTTGAAGAATTTTTAAATTTTAGCTTTGTTGATTATAATATTTATATATGTTGTTAATATATTAATGAAAAAAAAAGAAATGTTTGACACCTGTATCTAAAACATTTTATTTTTTGACGTCAAACATATCAACCACAGCTACCTTATTTGAATTGTAATTTAATTATAATGACTAATTGTCTTAAATGGTAATGACTAACTGGTCTTAAAAGTTATATAAAACCACATTCAAACGACACGGTGTTTATATACAAATGTGTGCAAAACAAACAAATATTATCTTCACTATTTTCCAAAGTTTTATTTACTCAATAATAGCTAATTAAAATGTAACACAAAAATGAAAAATAGGTTTTTTTTTTGAGGAAAATTTTCCGCTAAATTGCTTAATTTTTGTGCCTTTTAACAATATTTTTGTTTTATATTTTATATATAATAATTTGTGTTGTTTTCTGTTAAAAAATTTTGTTTTTAATAAATATTTTATTTAAATATGCGATTTTTTAATACACAACACACATTTAAATTTACCGAATTTTATCGGAATCTAACAAAATTTTCTGAGGAATCTACTAAAAGTCTTTAAGGAGGATGGCAACACCCTACTAATAATCAAAATATAGACTATGAATAAAATGTATTTTCCAACAACCTAGTGATATCCCAGGTAGCACACTGACGTTTGCTGACGTTTATATGACGTCTTCTGGCGTTTAAATGACGTTAGCAACGTCATTTCAACGTCATATAAACGTCAGCAGACGTCAGTGTGCTACCTGGGATGAGGCATAGCTGAAAATTGTAATCGTTTGTTTTTATCTTAAAAGATTCTTAAATATTTAATTTAAAAAATTAGCACAAACAAATGTTTCTTCCATAATATTTGTCTGAAAAAATACGCCTAATTTCTTTTAAGATAATAATACAAGATTGCAATTTTCAGTTAGGCCGGTTTTGCATTTAAAAGGGTACTTGTATAAAATATTTCTTGCGTTTTTTTTTAATTTAATATACAACTGTTTTTATAGAAAAAAAATTTACAAAATCTATTATATAAAATTTTGGCGACAAAAAATATTCTTTTTTTATTAGGCTGTATATAACAGTTAGTTACTATAAAAACAGTTTTGTAATTCGTGATGGCCGATATGTCAGATTTATTTATTTTATTTTGAAAATCATTTAATTATCTACTTTTGGAGTAGATAAATTAAAGTACTACACTCGAAATTATGCGCATTATTCAATCGGATTTAATTCTCTCGTCTGGCGAATCGAAACTATTAATAGTTTTAATTAAATTAAAACTACACTGTTTATTAATAATTATTATTAATATAAATTTTTAAAAATGGCGAATGCACCAGGATTACGGATTATTTTTCATTATTTCATATTATATACGAGGTGTGTTCAGAAAATAACGGGAATTGTTAAATTTCGCGGGTTCGGAGGGTCCGGTTGTCATACAATTTTCTTTATTATGTTGGTATACATGCCCCCGAACTTAAGCTGTTTTCATTGTTTACTTTGTCTGTGGCAGCCGCTAAGGTTAGACGTGTTTTATGAGCTCGGCGATTTTTCGTTCGTTAAAATAAATGAATCAAAGAATTTGTATCCAATTTTGCTTAAAAAAAGAAATAAATTCTGTGAAATGTTAACAAAGGCCTATAGTGAGTCTGCTATAAGTAAAACAAGAGTTTACAAGTGGTATAAGAGTTTCCAAGATGGCCGTGAAGAAGTTGAAGATGACGAACGCCCCGAACGCACAAGCGCATTAACAACCGATAAAAACATGGAAAAAGTGGAAGAAATGGTTATAAACCATCAGAGAAGTCGCTGATGATGTTGGTATATCGATTGGCTCATCCCATGAAATTTTTTCGAATGTTTTGGGTATGAAACGCGTGGCAGCAAAATTTGCCCAAGCAACAATTTAAGTATTTGTTACGTATATGGGACTATTGAAGAAACTTCAAAGTGTTTTGCGACAGTCGCCGGTCTCTTTATATTACTCTTTCATTACTACGTTACGACTAAAGTGGGGAACAATTATTGAGTTCCAAAAAGGTAGCAAATATGTCACTAGCTATAAACCCTTCTACTATTTGGGACGTAGCTGCTACGTTACTAGAACGTTCCAATATCGTTGCTAGAGCGTTATAATTACTTTTATTATTTGTTTTTACTTCTGTATTAACTGTCTTTGTCAAACTTATATTAGATTATACTATCCCTCCTTTTTTAAATGGAACCACTACGGACTTGGCTTTTCAATGTCATCGTTTATTAAATATGTACTGGTAGTTTATAACTTCCAGAATAACAATATAATGTTTAATTAGACAGGTAGATTTATAAACCCTTTAAATTTTACTGTTGAACTTATGAATTTAGCTTTTGTAAAATAAATGCGCTTCATCAATATTTAAGTATAAACAAATTATTTATTTAGTAATGTTTATAAATAAAAAAATATTAATATTTATTATTATTTTTTTTTATTTAATTATTAATACCGTCTATTACCAATAATATTTCTATTTATTAAAAAGTAAACAACCATTTACAAACAATTAAAATAATTTATTATTTACATTACCACGTGGTACTGTACAGTAAAAAATGGCCGATAAGAAGCATTTTCCTTTGAAGTAGTTTTCGCTACTTTAAAGTTTTTTTCCACTTTACGGTTGTTTTGGTTAGTACCATAAACGTTCCAAATACTAAAATAATAACTTTTAAGTTATTAACTTTGTAGTTTTTAACTCATGTTCCAGTTTCGAGATTTTAACTTGCAAAGGGACTACAAAGTAAAAATAATTATAATGTAATCTTTAGGTAGCAACCGAAAGTAACTGCTACAAATTAAATTTACTTGAAAGTTTTTTTTACTTATAACACCTTTTTTAAAGTTGCAAAGTCTTCTTGGGGGCAACCAAGTTTTACTTAAATGTTTATTACTTTATAGTAACAATTTAAGGAAAAATTAAGTTTCTGTTACAAAATATTGCTATTTAAAAGTTAGAATTACTTTTAAGTAAAAATTAAAGTAGCTGTTTAGTATACTTAACTAATTTAAAGTTATCACCACTTTGACAATGGTTTTTGGAACCAAAAATGCTGCTTGGGTGTTTTAAAATTGTTAAATTTTGAACAACATTTTTGGCCAAAAACAATACTGTAATGATGCAACAGCCTCCATATTCGCCAGACATGCCTCTGTCTAATTTTTTCCTATTCCCAAAAATAAAGAGAACCTTAAAGGGCCGTCGTTTTGCAAGCATAGATGACATTAAAAGCGCATCGCTGAAAGAACTAAAGGCTATCCCAAAGATCGAGTTTTAGAAGTGTTTCGAGTATTGGAAGAAGAGCTGGCACATGTGCATAATATCCAATGGGGGCTATTTTGAAGGCGACAACATTAATGTAGACGAATAAATAAATATTTGTTTCAAAAAACGAAAATTCCCGATATTTTCTGAACACACGTCGTAGGGTGATTGATTAATATTACACTAAAGAAAAGAATAACATAAAAAACCTATTCTATTAGTTTTAGAAAATAAGACGAAACTAGCCTTTAACTGACATATTATCTCAATTATTTGTATTCAAATGTCAATTTGGGACTTTTTGGTGTGGAGCATAGTTACTATTCTGTCCATATATGTATTTTTCATAAACAATAACGCAACAAAATAGTAGGCTAAATCGTACTTCTCTAGTTTAAGAAAAAGCTTCTTTATTTTTTATGGTAGCCGTTTTACTATTTAATGTACAATTTTTGGGCTAAGGATATAAAATTTACCGTATTTAAAATGGTTACAATTTCCATTATGTTTGATAAATAATGGATAATTTAAAATTTAGTTGTACACAAATTTAATTTAAAATACATTAAATAGTAAAAGGGCTTGCCAACTTTTTTAAATTAATTTTAATTTATTTTTAATTTGTCCAAATCTTTGGTTTAATTCGGTTCAATTTTTATGATACCTTATTACAATTACATCAATTTTTCTGAAACAATACCTGCCTTGCACATATTGAATTCATCGTCAAAAATTAATTGTAACTGTATGAAAATGAAATGTTACAAGAAATAACTCCATATTGCAAAGGTTACAATTCAATGAATTATTTTTTAATAGGTCCACAAATATTTTAATTTTTATTTGAAACTTATTTTAAGTTGCATTGTTTTTCATATAATAATGTAATGAGTATAATTTTAAATGAGCGTACTAAAATGATGTGTACATAATTTTAATTCAATTAAGATGATATATAGCATAAATTTAATTATGTGAATTAAAACCATGCACATATAATTTTAATTCATAAAATTAAAATTATACTATCCATCATTTTAAATGAATTAAAATTATGCTACACATAATTTTAATTGAATTAAAATTATACTATACATCATTTTAATTGAATTAAAATTATACTTTACATAATTTTAATTTAATTAAAATTATGTACATAATGTTAATTCGGCAACGTCGACGGTGGGAACACTGTTGGTGGGATTACAATTAAACAACTTACCTCTTTAAATCTTTTTTCCGTTTAAAAAGTCATTAAAGCACAGAACTATTCTGTGATTTAAGTGCCACATTACCAACTAGCCAAACAAAAAGTTACCAAAAAAAAGGAACATTCTTAGCGTTACGTTTCGCGATTGCGGCATTGCCAAATTAACATTATGTAGATAATTTTAATTCAATTAAAATTATGTACAGTATAATTTTAATTCAATTAAAATGATGAATAGTATAATTTTAATTCAATTAAAATGATGTATAGTATAATTTTAATTATGTGAATTAAAATGATGTGTGTATAATTTTAATTCTGAAATTAAAATTATGTGTGCATAATTTTAATTGAATTAAAATTATGTACACATAATTTTATTACGCCCATATAAAATTATACTCTACATAATTTTAAATCAAGAATTAAAATTATACTACAATATAATTTTAATTCTAGAAATTAAAATTATATTAAACATATGTACCTAATTTTAATTCCAGCAATAAAGTTATATTCTACATCGTTTTAAATACTTGAATTAATATTACCATAGGAAAAACATTGCAAGTTAACGTAAGATTCAAATAAAAATTATAATATTTATAGACGTATTAAAAATAATTTATTAAATTAAAATTCAACATCAACACCTTTCCAATATGTAGTTATTTTTTGTAAAAATTTTTATTATATTAATCTCCATAATGTTGAATAAAAATTGTGTTGTTAAATGATAAAACGGCTTGCCATAATTTTTTGCATTTTGCCTTTAAAATATTCTTTAAAAAAATAACCTATCTAAAGAAAAATCTGCAAATTTATTTTGTATATTTTTAGAAAAGAAAGTTAGGTACTTAAAATAACATAACCATAAGTTTTTTAACAAAAAACATTCACTGAAACAAATTAAAATGAACTATTTTTTAATTAATTAAAAAGACTAAAGAAATTTATTTACAATTTAATTAATTTATTAAAATTGTTTTTCAATACTTAACTAATTTCTGCCCACATTTTTAATCAACGAAAAACAGCGTTTACTTAAATTAGTGAAAGTTGTAATTCCTAATTAGTGTTTTTGTTTATTTGGATTATCCAAAATTAGCATAACGCCTTAACACAAAAAATTGAAACCGATAAATTTTAACGAAGGCGATACGTACAAATGTCCGTAAATAATAATAAATGTCGATCTGGACACAAGAATTAAGTGTTATTTCACTAAATGCTTAACCCAAATTAAATTTATGCTCAGTATGCAAATGATGCTGAATTTATTTTGTTGTTTAATTGATCTCATTAATTTACGAGATTCACGAATTTTAAACGGAATGCAGGTCCGTACTGAAGTTCATGTTTAGTTTATTGTTTTAGGCGCTTATGTCGACTGTGGTCACAGGATAATTCCAGGGCATTTGCCATATGATGGCTACCATGATTTGCACCTACCCCATGATCCACCATTACACCCAGTGTTTGATAAAGTACCAATAACATCATTTACTTGTGCAGGGAGGGAACCTGGTTATTATGCTGATGTCGAGGCAGGATGCCAAGTATGTTTAAATTTTGTAAAATATTATTTAAAAAGTCAACAAAAAAATAAACTTTGGATAATATAAATTTAATTTAAAAATAATATTTTCTATTTATTTTTGACATCAAAATATACATTTTAATTTTTTTAGGCTTACCACATTTGTGCACAAAACACAGCAGCATCGTTCCTATGCACAAATGGTACCCTCTTTAATGAACAATTCCAAGTGTGTGACCAATTTTACAATGTCCGATGTGGATCTCCTTATATAGACCTATAATTTAACCATTGATTTATTTATTTAACTTATTAAATAAAAATATTAAAATCGAAAAGGAATTAATTTAAACAACCCCATTATACAGTGTGCACCAAGTATCCTTCTATGTATATAATATTTCTGTTGGTATTTGTTTATTTAAAGAGCGGTTAAATTAGAGAAAAGTTGCATAATTACAAGTCTTTTAAAATAAAATTTAAAGGTTCCTAAAATATTTAAAAAAATATATATACACGCATTAATATACATTTTCATCCAATTTCTGTTACAATATTTTGGGTTACCATCACCATCTTTTGTTTATGGCGGCCATGGAAAATAAAGATTCCAAATTTCCAGGAATAACAAAGTTATAACGATTTTTGTTTTAACAGGTTTTTAGTTTTTTTGTAATTATTTGAGAACCACTGATTTTTAAATGCTATTCTCTAATTTAACCAACCTGGTAGGTCTTCAAATAAAAAGATACCCATACATATAAGGATACTTGGTGCATCCTGTATATCCATTACATTTATTATATTGCATGTGGATACAACTGAATTTAAAAGAATATATTAAATATTTTAAACTACCTATACAGTGCATGCCTTGGCGTTTTAGTACCAATAAACCTCTTACTTGCCTTCTGGGTGATGGCTCTGTGAAATTTATTAATTATATTAATATCTAATATAAAATTATAGGTTTGAAGAAGGTAAATTCTGGTACTGCTTACTAAATTTTCCCAGAGGTCCAGTTTATTATTAATTCAGAAAAAAAGTACATCTCATGATATAAAACAATAAAAATGTACTTACTATAGCATTTATTCCTGGGACTCCTAGACCACAATATATTCTTGGCCTATTTTATTTTCATCTGCAACGAAAAATTATGTTAATAATTGTAGTAGTACTCGAAATATTTTATTGGTCAATATCAAAAGGCAAAAGACTGAAGTGTTTTTAGCCTTTTTCAGATATTGTGAATTGCGTCATTTTAGGGAACATAAATTTTCATCATTTATGTATCAATGCGAGCTGAGCGTCTCATCATATTAATTGTTTTTAAAATCTAATTATTTTTTAATGTATAAGAAACATTTATCCATTAAAACATTAAAAATGTACTTACTATACCATCCTTGACACCAAGTTCATTTCTTGGAGTCCTAGACAGCGACCTATTCTTGTTGGGGGTCTTTTTAGTAACTGTAGTGCTTCCACTGGAAGAAACTTCCATGCGCATATTCTTAACTGGCTGTCCAACAGACCTAGCTCTTGGTTTCGTTTTGGTGAAATGTGCTTCTTCAGTGTTTGACATATCAACCCCAAGATTCTCCATATCTTCCCTGAGCTTGCTGACGGAGCGATCTCTAACTTTAGCGCCGGCGGTACGCGGCATGACGGGTTTTCTGCTTTGCTTGTTGATTCTTGCTTCATCTTTGATGATGGCTTTCTTGTGTCTGATTTGCAAGGCGAGTTTCTTGATTTCTTTGATCGTGTCGTCCAGTTCGATCTTGGGCACGACGTACATGCCGGTTTTGTCTCCGATTTCTTCTTACTTACTTTAGCATTTATTCCTAGGACTCTTGGCCCATTTTATTTTCATCTGCAAAGAAAAAGTATGTTAATAATTGTAGTAGTACTCGTAATATTGTATTGGTCAATATCAAAAGGCGATAGACTGAAGTGTTTTAGCCTTTTTCAGATATTGTGAATTGCGTCATTTTAGGGAACATAAATTTTCATCATTTATGTATCAATGCGAGCTGAGTGTCTCATCATGTTAATTTTTTTTTATTTACATTATTTATTATTTTATGTATTAGCGGCTACAACCCTTATACAAATTTAATTTATTTAAATCCAATATAAATTTATAGGTTTTGAAGAAGTAAATTATGGTACTGTATATTTAAATTAAAACGCTCTAAAAAGTGACCTTAGCCAACGACCAAGTTTGTTACAAATACAAAAAATTGTACCTCCATCTTATAATAGCTAAAACAATAAAAATGTACTTACTATTTCATCATTTCACCAGTTCCTTCCTTGGAGTTGTAGACGACATATTCTTGTTAGTGCTTCTACTTAGAGACTTCCTTGTGTATATGCTTAACTAATGGTTACCTACTATTCTTATAGCTAATTAAATAAAAAATATTAGTAAATTCCAAAGGAATTAATTTAAACAACCTTATTATATATATCCAGTACATTTATTGTATTATATCTACATACAACTGAATATGAAAGAATATAAAATATTTCCAACATAATAAATAGTAATTTGCATTATCTTATCTTCTATCGGTTTTTTCCGACTCCTCTCTTACCAGCAAACAAATGCCTTGGCATTTTGGTACCAATAAACCTGTCAGCTTCACCCTTAAGTCCCATCCTACCCACCTTCTTGGCAATGGCCCTGTGCGCGATTTTGGCCAATTTCTTTTTCATCTGGAACGAAAATTAATGTTAATTGTAGTAGAAGCGAAAATACTTGATTGTTTAATATCAAAAGACTTAGGTTTCAGATACTGTAAATTGCGTCATTTAAGGGAACATAAATTTTTCATCATTTATGTATCAATGCGAGCTGAGTGTCTCATCATGGTAATTGTTTTTAAAATTTAATTATTTTTGAATGTATTAGCAACATTTATCCATTCAAACATTAAAAATGTACTTACTATAGCATCCTTGACACCAAGTTCATTCCTTGGAGTTCTAGACAGCGACCTATTCTTGTTGGGGGTCTTTTTAGTAACTGTAGTGCTTCCACTGGAAGAAACTTCCATGCGCATCTTCTTAACTGGGGGCCCAACGGACCTCGCTCTTGGTTTCGTTTTGGTGAAATGTGCTTCTTCAGTGTTTGACATATCAACCCCAAGATTCTCCATATCTTCCCTGAGCTTACTGACGGAGCGATCTCTAACTTTAGCGCCTGCGGTACGAGGCATGACGGGTTTTCTGCTTTGCTTGTTGATTCTTGCTTCATCTTTGATGATGGTTTTTTTGTGTCTGATTTGCAAGGCGAGTTTCTTGATTTCTTTGATCGTGTCGTCCAGTTCGATCTTGGGCACGACGTACATGCCGGTTTCGTCTCTGATTTCTTCTTACTTTAGCATTTATTCCACAATATATTTTTAGCCTATTTTATTTTCATCTGCAACGAAAAATTATGTTAATAATTGTAGTAGTACTCAAAATATTTTATTGGTCAATATTAAAAGGCTATAGACTGAGGTGTTTATGCCTTTTTCAGATATTGTGAATTGCGTCATTTTAGGGAACATAAATTTTCATCATTTATGTATCAATGCGAGCTGAGTGTCTCATCATGTTATTTGTTTTTAAAATTTAAATTAGTTTTTGTATTAGCGGCTGTAACCCTTTTACAAATTTAATTTATATAAATCCAATATAAATGTATAGGTTTTGAAAAAGTAAATTATGGTACTGTATATTTAAATTAAAACGCTATTAAAAGTGGTCAACTAAGCCAAAGAGGACTAGGTTTGTTGATAATACAAAAAATTGTGCCTCCTTCTCATAATAGCTAAAACAATAAAAATGTAGGTACTTACTATATAATCATTTCAGCAGTTCCTTCCTTGGAGTTGTAGACAACAACATATTCTTGTTAGTGCTTCTGCTTAAAGAAACTTCCTTGTGTATCTGCTTAACTAATGGTTACTTACTATTCTTATAGCTAATTAAATAAAAAATATTAGTAAATCCCGAAGAAATTAATTTAAACAACCCCATTATATATCCAGTACATTTATTGTATTATATCTACATACAACTGAATATGAAAGAATATCCAAAATATTTCAAACATAATAAATAGTAATTTGCATTATCTTATCTTCTATCGGTTTTTCCGACTCCTCTTTTACCAGCAAACAAATGTCTTGGCATTTTAGTACCAATAAACCTGTCAGCTTCACCCTTAAGTCCCATCCTACCCACCTTCTTGGCAATTGCCCTGTGTGCGATTTTGGCCAATTTCTTTTTCATCTGTAACGAAAATTTATGTTAATAATTGTAGTAAAAGCGGAAATACTTGATTGTTTAATATCAAAAGACTTAGGTCTTTCTGCCTTTTCAGATACTGTAAATTGCGTCATTTAAGGGAACATAAATTTTCATCATTTATGTATCAATGCGAGCTGAGTGTCTCATCATGTTAATTGTTTTTAAAATTTAATTATTTTTTAATGTGTCAGCAACATATCCATTTAAACATTAATAATGTACTTACTATAGCATCCTTGACACCAAGTTCATTCCTTGGAGTCCTAGACAACGACCTATTCTTGTTGGGAGTCTTTTTAGTAACTGTAGTGCTTCCACTGGAAGAAACTTCCATGCGCATCTTCTTAACTGGCGGTCCAACAGACCTCGCTCTTGGTTTCGTTTTGGTGAAATGTGCTTCTTCAGTGTTTGACATATCCACCCCAAGATTCTCCATATCTTCCCTGAGCTTGCTGACGGAGCGATCTCTAACTTTAGCGCCGGCGGTACGCGGCATGACGGGTTTTCTGCTTTGCTTGTTGATTCTTGCTTCATCTTTGATAATGGCTTTCTTGTGTCTGATTTGCAAGGCGAGCTTCTTGATTTCTTTGATCGTGTCGTCCAGTTCGATCTTGGGCACGACGTACATGCCGGTTTCGTCCCTGATCTCTTCTTCGCGCTCCAATTCTTCCAATTTGTTGAAAATATCGGGATCGATGTAGTCGGCGACGTTGTGTCCCTCCCATATTTCCGGTATGATGTCGTAGCGTTCTTCCTCGGGTATTTCTTTGTATTCCTTGTTGAGGTCGAGGACGTAGTCGTCGCCCTCTTCGATTTCGATGTCGCGTTCCAGCTTGCGCTTCTTCTTCTCGGCGGTCTGTATTTTTTTGGCCAATACTGCTTCGGGGATGCACGGGGCGCGGACTTTGCTGTCTCGTGCCTTCGGCAGGGCCACATGCAGTCTGTTCAAAACTCCGTCGACCTATGAAGAGCATTACCAATAACGTTAATAACTTTTATGTTAGTATGATGACAAAAGGATTAACTTTTTGCCGTTTTCAGATAGTGTTATTGCGTCATTTAAGGGAACATAAATTTTCATCATTTATGTATCAATGCGAGCTGAGTGTCTCATCATGTTAAATGTTTAGCATTTTAGTAATATTTACCAATTTTCAAGCTTAAAGAATAATTAGAGTTTAAAACTTGGGTTTTTTTCTTAAACTCTTCAATATTTTGTATATTTTTTATTTTATAAAAAGATAAAACATTACGTTTTTAAAAAACGATCAAACCAAGTAGGTATCCCCTGCCGATCTATACACTTATGCATTTTATAGTTGACGAACGACTGCGAAAATAAGTCGTGAAGGAGAAGGTAGTGAATATATTTGAATTTTTCTTATCGACGGTATTTCTTTTTAAATATTGTGTTTTTACTAAAATCTGTATAGAATAAAAAAACAATAAAACCCACTTATAAAACCTCAAAAAGCCCTGGGTTTTATTTAAAAACCCCAGTTTTTTTCAACCCTGCAAAGCAACTTTTGCCCAGATTTGGCTTAAAAATCCCCACTCGTTTTGTCACGCTACTGAGACTTTCTGTTATTTTTAACAACAAAAAATTATAGAAAAATACGTTTTTCTACAGTATGGTTGATTTTAGTGACTAAATATAATAGAAGTAATTTCACACTGAATTTCGACATTATGTACCAGTTCTTCATATAAAAAATATATATATACCTATTTTTGGTATAAAAAAGAACACGAATTCCTTTAAAAAGTTACCAATTTTCAGAGCTTGTCAATTCCATCTACAAGTTGCGAGAAGCAGTGGCGGCCCGTGACATTTTATTTTGGTGAGGCAGAGGCAGGGTTTCGCCCTCATTTAAAGGCCAAGAAAATTTTTTAAACCCAACTTAAAAAAACTGACGGCGCAACCTATACTTAAAGTGAAAAACTTAAGACTGTGGTGGGGAAGGAATCCTCTACTTTATCAATGAAATATATTTTATTGTAAAAATGACGTTTATTTTAAATAAACTTCATTTTTGTCTAATTAATATTTCATTGTTCAGCAAGAACCACGTGAAGGTCAACAATATCGGTACAATTTCTCACCGTAATATCCATAATCACTAAATTCACATAAATCACAAAGTTCAATTAACTAAACCCACAGAATAAACCACTTACAAAAGAATCATAAAATAGACAAACTCATAGAAAAAGAATAAACAAAATATTGCGTAAATAACCACAGATTTTTTCTTTAAACAGTTCAGAATTTTATAACCAAAACAAACCTAAAGAAGGAATCTGTATTTATTTTATTTTAGTTAGTTTAAATCGATTTTTATAAGAAAAATAAAACCATTTATTATTGAATTTTGAAAAACGTGTGAAGTATAATTTATCTAAGGGTCAAAATTAATTTACGGGCCAATTCCGAAAAATAAAAGTTAAAAAATAAAAGTCGGTGTATTTTAAAAAACCTCAATTTTTTTAGTTGGTATAGGTTTCTTCTACCAAATTTTGTATGTGTCCGCACTGGATATGTAGGTTTTTGAATTTCCGGCATCTTTTTTAAGCAACATAACCGCCTTTTTTAACGCCGGTCACACGTTCAAATCATAGATTATTTGTAAAACGTAATAACGAAATAAAAAAATATTTATATTTATTATGAACGCATATATTGATGTTAATAAATAAATAAATAAAATACTTTTATATTTAGCAATTAATAAGAAATTTGAAGAATATTAAAAATAGGCCATGTGACCGTTGTTACCACACAAAAACATACGCATGAACTAATTTTTTCATAATTTGAGGAAAAATTAAGTAGGTAAATATAATGAAAACTTACCTATTTAATGCAAAATCACTAGCAGCAAAGTTTTCGTAACACAAAATTTAACGAAGACTGATATTAGTGGCTCTGGCGGCAAAAATGTGAGCGTATATGGAGTGCTACCGGCGTTACGCACAATCTGGGGGACACAGCTTTAAGGCACTACCGAAACTTTGATATTGTAAAGAGTATAAGAAAAATTGATTAAAAAATTACGTAACTGTTTCTATATCGAAAATTATTTAAATATTTATTTTCAACTTTGGACAGTAAAATGCAACAGATTTAACATAATAAACAGATGACAGGGACATGTGACCGGCGTTACATTTTGTCATTTTAAACTTCGTAACTTTTATTTTTTTTTATACAAAAGCTACCGTACTTTGTGTTTTACTGGAAAATATGTGCCTTTACACAGGAATGGTATGTGTAACCAGGTAATGCTTGAAATTTTTTTTTTTTTTACCAGGGACTGAAATTGGCCTGTAAATAAATTTTGACCCCTAAAATTCCGTAACAGTGCTTATTTCCTTGGATGTAGGCGTGCCTGCCTCGCGTATGCTAATACGAGAGAAGGAGACAACTATGATATCGCATTGTAATAGAACGAGACAACAAGGCTAACGCCAATCGTGAGACTAAATTAGTTAGGCATGCTTCTGAGCCAATCATCTAGCTATAAATATTAGTTTAAATTGGGGTCGTTTCAAATTCAAATAATTTAAATGTTGCTGGGTATTCCACGTATAAAATCAATCAATTTTATTGACTATTTCACAATTCATGTAATCCAAATATTAAAAATTTATAGTATATTATAGAAAGTAAAATATTTAAATTATACTACACCTGCCTCCCCTGACGAGAAGTATCGACGCGAATTTACGGTTAAGGTGAAAAATGGTTGATTTTCACTTTAACAGCAAACTTTGTATTTTATAACGCTATTCAAGTTACAAGTTTAATAATGCGAAGCGAGTTTTTAATAAATGAGTGCTTAAAGAACTTTATAAAACGAATTGCATACCATACTTTATCCTCATTAAACACAATGTATTGTTTTTTTTAGAAAGGGGGTAGCGGGTTAAGGGGGGTCTGGCCGTCCCCACCGAATCTGGTAAAATCGTTCCAAAAATCTTAAAGAGGGTCGAAAAACAAGCAGTATAAGCTTTTTACCGACATTACAACCCCAAACGAAAACACAGTAATGGCGAAAAATATGATTATTTGTGATTTTTATTTTTTTCAACCAGTTTAATTTATTTTTAAATGGTTTAAAACGCAATTAAAAATTTGATTTGGATGTATGGAAGTCCCCTGAATTTTTTCAGATTTTTTGGTAAAGTAAAAACATGTGAATTTTAGGTTTAAATTCTAAAAAATCGTGAAAAACGCGTCATTTTCAAGATTCACCCTCTAATTTTTAGGGTTGTTTTCATTTTCCCGAGGGGTGCTGTATATTATAGATAGCGGCAATCGTCCTCTTTTGAATGCAGGCAACTGGACTCAATTTGGTCAATTCTGGTGAGCGGGGCGATTTTTTGAAAAAAACTCGAACTTTCAACTTTCGGTAAATTACGGCGCGTACTTGGTATAATGCGTCTTTGCTATAAAAAATACATCTCTATAGGGGTTTTTAAGGTCGCTGATCACGAATTTGATGTCAAAAAATTTTTTTGACAACAAATTCGCCCATAAATATTTATTAACACAGGTTTGATAATGTAAAAAATATTATTGAATCACAGCATTTAAACAATTTTAATATCGTGTTCAACTAATATAATCAATGAAACTAAATTTTCTGGTATAAATCATATTTTATTCAAGCTTATCTAATAGTCACACACTAATATAAATGAGCATAATACTTTTTTACAGAGCTAAGTTAACAATTTTACAGTTTTAATCCTCGTCACTATCTTCTTCAATAACATGTTCAACGCTTTGAACAGAGAAAAGATTTGTGAGAATCTGTGCTGGACGAATAATTCGCGACAAATATCTCGCATGCCCTAAGAAGTAAATGATAGTGGCCACATGTGCACAACAACCGACAGTTCTGAGGCCATTCGCACAATCGCATACGTATTCTTCTATACCACTTCTTCCAATAGCGTTAGGAACGTATTTTACGTAACACCTGTACTTTTTCCGACTTATGTGCCTCGATTGAACTTCGCATTTCAAAATTGATTTATCTTCCAACAAGTAACGCATATTAAGAACTCCATCTTCAGTACATAATTCTGCTAAATAAGAAACGGTCTGTGATAACTGGTAAGACCCTGTAAAAAGTATCTTCAGATCTCTTTCTGTTAACTCCGGAAAGTCTACAACATCATTTGACGTCAGAGGTCTGAAGATCCTTTTTTTTCTGTTCCAGTTTTTCTCTTCTACCACTTTCGCTAAATCATTATTAACGTTTTTTCTGAGCAACATTTCGTTAGTGATCTCATCTTATAATTCGCTATCACAATTGAGTCGTTTTCCGAACAAGTTAACCAGAAAATTCGCTATTTTGCAATAAGTTTTAGCTGATAGCAAACGTTTATTGTCAAACTCTTGAATCATGAGTTGGAATTTGCTGCCAATGATCACATGAACAGCATCTACTACCCATCTTAGTTTAGTTACAAATCGACTGTCATTCGCCTCTTGAGTCGTTAATTGTTTCCTTTTTCCTTTTAACGCAGGCATCGTATTCAGCGACCTCAAAAACCTCTATAGAGATGTATTTTTTATAGCAAAGACGCATTATACCAAGTACGCGCCGTAATTTACCGAAAGTTGAAAATTCGAGTTTTTTTCAAAAAATCGCCCCGCTCACCAGAATTGACCAAATTGAGTCCAGTTGCCTGCATTCAAAAGAGGACGATTGCCGCTATCTATACTATACAGCACCCCTCGGGAAAATGAAAACAACCCTAAAAATTAGAGGGTTGAATCTTGAAAATGACGCGTTTTTCACGATTTTTTCGCATTTAAACCTAAAATTCACATGTTTTTACTTGACCAAAAACCCTGAAAAAATTCAGGGGACTACCATACATCCAAAACAAATTTTTAATTGCGTTTAAACCATTTAAAAATAAATTAAACTGGTTGAAAAAAATAAAAATCACAAAAAATCATATTTTTCGCCATTACTGTGTTTTCGTTTGGGGTTTTAATGTCGGTAAAAAGCTTATACTGCTTGTTTTTCGACCCTCTTTAAGATTTTTGGAACGATTTTACCAGATTCGGTGGGGGCCGCCAGACCCCCCTTAACCCGCTACCCCCTTTAAAACCAATTTTATCTGACATGTCAAGAGGTTTTAACCTCACTTTATAACGATCTGACATCTGTTAAATAGTTTTATCCTCACTTTTTCCCAATTTTAATTTATGGCAACCTTTAGCCTGTGTATTAAATATTTTTATACATGGCTTGTAAGTAGATAAAAAATGTAATGGTAGCACTTCAAATTACGATTAAGAGATTGCCAATTTGACAGTCAATGGGATTTTCGATAGTGTGTGTTTCCTATAAAAATATCGCGGTCTGATTGGCTTTCTTAAAAGCGCTAATATAATTTTGCTCAAATTTAAAAATTGGTAAAGACAAATTTTCTCAGAATTTTTCAAGAAATACATAGAATAAAGAAATTCTGCATATTTGGACTTTTTATATGTATTTGAATAATTAAAGTGCTCACATAAAACGTTACTGTGTATTTTTAAAAAACCTACAAGCTTACAGAAATATAGAAAAATATAGTCTTATAAGTTTTTAGAAAATAAAAAAGTAAAGTCTTTTATACAAATAATAAATATTAATCTTAGATTAACCAAATTAACTATTAACTAACTAACTAACTTATTGTAAACTGCTGAAGAATTTTTGATTTATTTATTAGGATTTTTAAAATAAATGTTAATTTAAAAATGGTTTACCTTTTTAGTCCTCATTTTCTGATCCACCCTGTAGCTCAACAATTTCTCACAAGCCTCAGTTTTAACCTCCATAACACCCAAATCAGTAACAGTGGACATTTCTAAAACAGTCAGCTCACTATCCTCTTCAATTTCCTTAAGAACAGCCCTTCTATCTTTAGGTAACTCATCCAACTTAACAATATCAGTTTTGTTTGCAACAACAATCAAAGGCTTGTTGGCAAACAAAGGTTTAATTGACTCAAAAAGTTTGACCTGGTCATCCAAAGTGTGTCCACACTGTTCAGATAAATCCATGAAATACAAAATGCAGGCCCTCAAATGAGCCAAAGCTGTTACGGCTTGCATTTCAATTACATTACGCTCTTCAAGAGAGTGATCCAAGATACCAGGGGTATCAATGACTTGCCAGCGCAAATATTTGTAGTCAGTGTGACCAACATACAAGGATTTAGTGGTAAAAGCATAGGGTTGCACTTCCACATCGGCTCTGGTGATTTTGTTGATAAATGAAGATTTGCCAACATTGGGAAATCCTGAAATAACAATTTGTTATCAAAAATAATGATATATTTAATTTAAAATGTACATTCCAGTGATTTGAGTTATTTTAAGTATCTAATAAATATTGCACAATGTTATAAATATTCTTTTAACTTACCACAAATAATAATGGTTCTTGTGTACGGATCAATGGAAGGCAAACGCGCCAAATGCTGTCTAACCTGTTCTAAATATGTTAAATTTGAACCCTGTCTTTTCATAATTGTGGCCATACGACCCAAAGCTGCTCTTTTCAGCTGTTTGCATCGATACAAAGAATCACCATATTTCATTAACCTTACATAATCTTTAGCTACACTAAAATAAAAATATTCAATAAATTCCTACCCTTATAGTCATTTTTTACTTACTTATCAATAAGATGTCTAGCAGTGTTAATTTGACCTAAAGCAAGTTTGTAATGATCCTTGTCATACAAAACATTCATTAAATCAGCATAAAAAGGATGGACATCATCCAATTTGGGAAATTCTGTCAATATTTGTGTTAAACGATCATGGAAACTTTGTTGGGAAAACTTTACTTTTCTAGTGTAAAAGCTCCTAATTCTTGTTATTTTATACTGTTTATGTACTACTGTAGGTGTTTTACGTTGTGTTTTCGAAAATATAATATCAATAAAGTCCTTAAATAAATGTTATTCATATTTAAAATTATTTCAAATAAATTTAGATGACTTACCTTGGCTGTTGGGACAACAGCTATTTTCTTAAAGTTGTACAGCGACATTTTTGTTTTTTTACACTTTTAAACCAAAATAAACTATTTTTAATTGTCAATATTTTTTAGCACGTGTATTTTGTCATACACGGCTACCTAAAAGGAATAAGGTTAGGTTTTATAACGCATGCGTCAATTTCTACGCAGTTATGGAATCCGCCGTGTTGCCATTTTCTTTAATTTTATGTTGTCAGGATGTTTTATTAAAATATATATTAAATTATATATAGGTATATATTCACAATGTAAATACTTTATTTATACAGAAAATTAAGTAACAAATAATTGTATTTAAATAAATTTGATATTTAATAAAATTTAACCTTGGGCAGTAGTTAAAATAAATCAAAACAAAAAAACTACCAAACTGTCAAAATTTGACATTTTCGCCCCCTTTGTATTTTTAAAGCATATTTTCTAACAATGTTCAACGAAAGTAACTACAATTGGGAGGCCCACAACAGACAGGTTGTTGTAGAAGGACGAAACGTATTAGAAAGAACTGGAGAAAGTTTGGCAAGATCAAACGTGATAGCCATCGAAACAGAAAATATTGGAAATGAAGTTATCACAGAACTTGGCGAGCAAAGGGAAGCATTATTACGTACCAGGGGAAGACTAGAGAATGCTAATGAACAATTGGATAGTGCTAAATCAGTTCTTAAGAGGATGGGTCGGAATGTGGTTTATAATAAGCTTATTTTGATCTTTATTATTATTACTGAAATTTTAATATTAATTTCTGTAACTTATCTCAAGTTTTTTAAGAAGTAGAATTATTTATGTTATTATTAACCAAGCATGCATGTCATAACCCACATTTTTTGTAATATTTTTGTATAGGTCATATTTTAATGAAAAAAACAAAAAGCAAGTTTAATTTTTTATTTAACTTAAAAATATTTTATAAATATAAATCACATTCTTTCAGACACTCTTGAAGCAACATTTCTTAATTGTCCATATACTTTGGATGGGGGAGATCCTAGGATTAAGTTACAAACAGCCCTTCTGGCCATTTGTATATTCTGAAAGCTTCCTAATATGTGAATTTTACTGTCAGCCAAAACTATCCTTGTTTTTGTTACATTTTCTATTGTGAATTTGGTTCTTCCTCCTTTACCAGCTAATCTGCCAATAGCTCTAGATTGATGATCACCTTTAAGTGTTTTCACATCTTTAATTTCAAATGTTTCTACAAATAGATCATCCAAACGTAAAAGGGCTAATGCATCTTCAACTTCAAAACCATATACAAAAGCCTAAAACAAATAAACATTTTAATATGTTAAAGACCTACAAGCCATACAAATTATGATTTTAAAAACAGTGTTTACCTTTACAAAGTCAGCAGCTTTTTGCAAGTTTCCTATATCCTTTGTCTCTTCGCACGTCTTAATTTCAACATTCCTACTTTTTAAATTAAACCTAACTTGCAACTGTAAATGTTCAACAATCGGTGTAAATATTTTCAACCAATTTTCTTTTAGCGGCGAATATCTGTGAGCTGGCACTGGTATTTTCCTTACATCGTCTTTTTCTGTGGCCTTGGTACGTTTAGCTTTTCCTGGCTTATTTTTAGAAGTTCCCTCAATACCATTGTGCAATTCTGTTTCCATAGGTTCTTCATTTGTTGAGTTTACTCGCCTTTTGTTGGCCTTTTTAGGCTCAAAAATGTCCGTGTCGATGTTTATGTCCGTCATTTTGATATGGTTATCGATATTTAACAAATTACGCAGCGATTTACTTCATATAATGTTTATTTATAAATACGCACGTGTTTGACGAAAATGTCAAAACTTGAAGGAAAGAGGTTAGGGTTTTTGACGCAGGCGTGCCATCATTTAAACGGAATTGGGATGTTGCCACGTTGTTTATACTTTCACATATCTAAGGAAATTATAGTGGGGGTACAAAATTATTTATATTCGTATAGAGGGTGTCCAGAAAATAGCGCACTAACGGTATGTTAAGCTTTAGAAGGTTTAAAATTAAATTTTATTTTTGTTATTTTAAAGTTGAGGCTATTTTTAAAATGTCTTGCAATTTCAACTTTGTTTAAATGAGCTTTAAATGCGTTTTTGTATGGTATATTTATTTTAAAGGTGGCAGGGTGGCAACTTCCCCTTCTTGCCCCCCTCCCGGCGCCTATATATGGGCGCCAGTATAGTGACATACCGTTTTGAAACCAAAGAAACTATTGTTGTGTGACATGTCCGTTTTTAATTCTACACAAATTATATAAGTCAATTTAAGTATATGATCATAGAAATAACACTCAGTGTTATTTCTATGATCATGATATACATATAAGGCGCTATCTTTCAAAACGCAGTTTTTGATCTAAAGCAGTTGGAATTATTTTGAAAGAAACTATTTCTATAGTTCAAAATCTAAACTTCAAATATTTATGGCCATGAGATAAATATTCATATTAGGTAATATGGGTCGTTCCACCCCAAACCGACCACTTTTTAACCCGACCCCTTCGATTTGGCTGTTTTTTATACTTTTTTCATCATTTAAAATGTTTCTCAAAATTTTTTTACCCTACTAAAAAAAAGGTTCAAAAAAATATCTCTTTTTTTTCAAATAGGTAGGTACCAATAACTTTTATAAAAATTTACTAAATGGGACGTAATAATATAATAATTATTTTTTAAGATTTTTGATTTTTAATCTTTTTTTTAGAAAAAAATACAAATTTTCGATGTCAAGTTCTATATAAATAGCAATTTAAATAACAATTATTGTTCTATAGTTGTTTAAAAAAAACCATCAATTTTCAAAGTTCATTTATTCTGCGATTTATGCTGCTTTTCCCAGTGGGCCGACTTTTTTTTCCATTGATAACCTTTTTTTATTTCTATAATAAAATCAATTTATGTAAGTAGGTAGGTACCTTCATTTACTTAACCATTGTTCTATGATTGCCTTTTTGTCGGAAATTAAAAAAATTAATAATTGTAAGTAGCAAATCAAATGTACATAAATAAATAAATGCGAGTATTAAGCTCTGACGTATTTTGTTTTATTAATTTTTATAATGCACTAGTGTCTTTTAGATGGATTATAGGACATTAGAGTGTTAATATCTTCATAATGTGTCACAAACCAGTATAATTATGGTCTTGTAATATGTAAATTGTGGATTTATAAAATAAATGGTTTGTTAAATTGAAATAAAAAAATTGTTAATCGTATTAAACATAAAATCAAAATAATTAATCATTATGTTAGATCATAAATTAAGTGTAAACTAAAACCATTTACTTGAATTGATTTTATTTTAAAAACAATGTTTTTAGAAGAAAAAAAATAAACAATTGGAAAAAAAATTATTTTTAATTAAATTATTTTTTTTTAGTGAGGTCTTTGAAGCATGGAATGCTTAGTGGACAAAAATTTATATACCTCATAAATCATGATACTTAAATTAAAATTGTTTGTTTAGGACAAATTAATTTTTTATTGACCAAGATAATTTAAAAAAATATGTAATTATTTTATAATTCTAAGGTCTGCTTCTGTATTAAATAATTTTTTCTTCTCGTACCTATAAAACGCTCATTATAGTACATGTTTCCACGACACTAAGTGATACTTTAAATACACATTGACAAGCTATGGCTTTATGGCGGTTTAGTCACGGGCTGAAGCTTTAAGTTAGCTGACATTTGTTAAATGTCATACAATCGTAAAAATAGTGCCCTCCTTGTGAAATAATACTAAATGTGAAAATTCTTGTATTATCGAAATACACAAAAAGTATTAAATAGTTTTTTAACGCCAATATTTAAAAAGGATATTGTAACGTTTTATAGGTTCGTAGTTTGAATAAAACACGCACTGGTTTATTAACGAACCAAACGATTTATTTTATAACTTAATTACACTTAAAATACTATGAAACTTATTAATAACTAAACTATTAATTATTTATATATCACTACTTTACAAGAGTCTACTTATTTTCACGTATATTTATTTCGTCGCGAGTACCAAAGCTTGACTGACTCTACGACGCGTCGCGACGCTTCGCTGTGCCTTATATATTCAGTGCGTTCGTGACCCACGTCAAGCAAGCGCCTTCCCGAACATTTCAGCGAGCTCCACACCGCTCTCGATCGCTCGAGCGTTGACTCATCGGCCATAGAGTTGAAACAAATGCAAAAATAGTTTTAAATTACATAAAAATGATAATAAACCTTTTAAGAACTTCGTTTAAAAACAAACTTAATCGATCCTTGATGAAAATAATTTAACAAAAAATTGTTTAATTTAAAATTACTTAGGATCGATTAAGTTTGTTTTTTAACCAAATTTAAGGAAAAGTTCTTAAAGGGTTTTCGAGTTACAATTTTTATGAATTTCGGCATAAGAAAAAGAAAATTAAAGGACATTTTTGGACCGACGACACGGATCTTAATGTCTTATATGTATTTTTTTTTCAAAAAACAAGGTAATGTGAAAAATATTAAAAAATTATAATTATTAGGGATTTTCAAGACACAAATTTAGAGTTGCAATGGAAGGACTAATATATATATTATATAATAAAGTGTTTATTTTTGAATTCCTGCTGAGGGTTACTTTAGGGAATACCAATGTAATTGTTTATATTTATTCTGACCCTTTATTAGGTATAAGAATTACAATACTTACTTTATGCTTTAAATTAAAAAGTAAACCTGGAAAATACTTCATTAACAATAAATTATTAAATATTAATTACGATGTATTATAATAAAGCTAGATGTAAAATATCGATATTTATAAAAATGCATATATATACTGTATATATACAGTCAATAAAATTTAAAATTGTTCGTATTTACTAACTAAAACTAATTTTAATGACGATTTAAAAATGGAAAAATTAAATTTGTTTATAATAAAGTTGTTAATTTAAGTCAGTTTATAAAAAGCAATTAATTAAATTTATTAAACTTAAACGGGATAAGTCTAAACCCTATTAATATTAGGTGCTTCCTATTAGCCTTGTAGACTGTTAAACTCATGTTAAAAAATCTAATTAAATTAATGTATCATTATGTTCTTGATATGAAATTAAAAAAAAATTCTAACCATAGAAAGCAATTAAATATAAATTATAATCATGTAAATGTGCGTTGTTTTGTTACATATGTAATTTCAAGAACAGGAAAAAATATTAACGATTACAATTGTTTAAACAATTTCATTTCAAGTGGATTTGTATACCTACATACAGGTACGTGTCTCAGTGTCTCAGTTTTGTTATCATCGACCGTGTAGTTGGTGTCCAAAATTAATAAAAGATGGTCGCTACAGAAACTATTTTTTCCTTGGAAAACCCACTGTTTAGGACATATTTGCTTCATGCCTGCGTTTTAAGCCTCAAAATTCTGGCTATGGCCATTCTCACGGGCAGATATAGATTTAAAACAAAGGTAAGCATCTATTTGTTTTACCAATCAAATTAAAATTAGAATAAAATACCTCTCCCACAGCGATTCAATTTGTAAACAGCTATTAAAAATTTGTCAAGTCAAGACCTGAAAGGCACAATTGTGACTTAAAAAAAAATGTATGTTCAAAAAGTAAAAGATAATATGTGTTAATAAATAATAAATCCGTCATAAAATACATTTAACATTAAACATAAAGATTTTGGACGTTTGGAATCATTGTGCACCAAGGTTAAGAGTCGTTCCAGTCATTTTACTATGAGAGTATTTTCCTGCCGCATTTTTAGCGGCAGGAAATTTGAACAACACTGATGACCCAAACAATAATTATTTTGTTTACTGCATAGATAACTGCTTGCCGGTTCGTAGTACGAACTGAACTTCGTAGATTAAACGTTGACTTATTGCATGTCATTGTATAAAAGTGTTTTGTGATATCGGTTCATAGTTTCGAGTTTTTGTGAGTTATAAAGATGGTGGCGAATATGATGTCCATGGAAAATCCATTATTTAAAACGTATTTGTTTTACCTTTGCGTTTTGGGACTTAAAATGTTAACTATGTCTATTTTAACGGCCAGAAAAAGATTTCTTACAAAGGTACTAAGCGTCTTTACCAGAATTTAAATAAATTTAATTATTTATTATTTTACAATGCTTAAATAAAACTTATAGTATTAAATATTACGTCATGATGATTTTGGTATTTGTTTGTATTTGATTAATTTTTATATTGTAGATAGTTAGATAATTTGGTAATATAATATAAATTAATTTATTAATTATTAATTATTATTATTAATAATTATTGATAAGCCTACCGGTTAAAATTTTAACTAAAATTAAAATTTTAATATTGGAATATAAATTATATTATATAATATACAAAATATACCAAAATTAAATAAATTTTAGTCTTATTTGACCTTGTTATGTTTGGTGCCCATAAAATTCCATTTGGATAAAAAAGAAAATAATAAATAAAAAATAACTTTTATATTATGCAAATTTTTAATAATTAAACATTAACCTTTAGTAAATTATTTAATAAAAATATATTCAACCCTAACTGCAATGTGTATTTTCAGACTTTTATTAACCCAGAAGATGCCATATCCATGAAAGTTAAAGTAAAAACCGATGATAATGTGGAAAGAGTCAGAAGGTAAAAATTTAATTTATTTTATTACGAAAGAAGTTAACTAGGTGACAAACAATGGTGGTTGGTAAAATAAAATATAGTCGAATTTCGCTTCCTCTGGGACTTTTTAAATTTTACATGTATAAAACACAGCGTTACAGGTTTCCTCAAAAATAATTTAATTTAATAAAACGAACGCGACCAATATTTGTAAATAATTTGAATTTTCCAATATTTTTTTGATTATTGGGGCCATACAAATTTTGTATTACAAAATATATCCATGCAACATGTAAGTCCAACCACCTTTATTTTTCAATATATTGTAGTATATATACTATCCAGTGCCGGTTTAAGTTAGTTCGCCGCCCGGTTCTGGCACAAACACAACGCCCAATGCTTTAAAATATTACTTTTTTAAAAACATTTTTAAATTTTTAAGTCTTACTTTCTCACGTCAAGTGGAAGATTAGGTTGGTATCTAACAGTAAACTTAGTATCCTATAAAATATAAAATGAGCCTTTATAAACAAATTATAAAAACTAATCAAAAGCAACTAAAAATTAAAACATTCTTTGGTTTATATAAACAAAACTAAGTACTAAGAAAAACTAATTAAAAAATAAAAGTTTAATATTTTGGTTTCATTAAACTAATAAAAACTAATCAAAAGGTATAAATAAATAAAACATTATTCTTTGGTTTAAATAAATATTGAGAAATCCTAATACTAATAATTAAAAGGTTGTTTTCGAGTCTTTATAGTAGCAAATTGTTTTATAACACTTTACATTTATTTCATCTAGCAGGTCTTGATAAATGGACAAAATTGCTAAGGAGTTAAATCTTTCTTGGGGAATTGTATTTCTTAGGTAGTTCTTTACCCTTTTTAGAGTAGAGAAAGATCGTTCACCACTTGCATTTGAAACTATTATAAAAAAAAATTCGCAGACAAATATTAATATTCGGATATGAAGATATTAATTTATTTTCGTATAAAACTTATACTAATTCCAATGAAGTTTCTATTTTTATTTTCGAAAGGGAAGTTACCAGTTTCTTGAGTTGGACACATTTTTGAGGAAAAAACTCATCCAAATCCTCCACGAAGATTTATGCTTTTAGATTAAACAAAAATTCAAATTTGTTTGTGCCAGATTTCTAGCTATCATATCGACAAATGATTTCGGATTATAGATTGTCAATTATTAAAATAAAAAATATTGTTCGCATTGTTTCTTTTTTGCTTAAATTTGCCTCTGAATTATTTTCTTCAAATTGTAATTTTCTTATGATTATAATCATAATTATCCGGATAATTATCCGCTTCTGAGCATAATTTTCGTTTCCTGTTTATTTCCTCGTAATGATCAAAATGATCACGTAAAAAATCAAAGTTCTCAACTAAAAATGACAAAAGATGAGCATTTGTGCTTAAATCGATATTTTGTTTTTGGACTGCATTATTGGTTTCATTAACCCTTTGCAAAACGTCTATCCAAAAAGTTAAAGTTATTCCGTTTCCATGCAATAAATCAAGTTTTTCTGATGGAGAAGCTGCTTCAACTCTAACAACATTTTTCTCATTTGTATCCGTTGTATCCGCCGACGCAGTGTCGCAATATTTTTTTTCTAAATTCTAACGATTAAGTATTTTTTTTAAAAATTAGGGCGGTACGCGGTACCGCCCCAAAAATATTTACCGCCCGGTGCTATAGTCCCCAAAAAACCCCTGTTAAACCGGCACTGATACTATCAGATAGTGAAATCCTAATAATATAATCTAGAGCAGGATATACCTATCTATATAATGATAAAAACCAACAATTGAAGGGGTCAAGCAAGAAGTGTATAAGTCACATTTTCAATTAAATTTACATTGTGGCTTCATCTAAGAGTGTTTCACGTAAGGTTTCAGGTGGTATTTTCAAAGTGGCAGAAATATGGCAAAAATAAGTGCCTTAGTTTGCATTTACTTCCATGGAAGTTTGCCTGGTTTTCAACTTACGTGAAAACTCTTAGATGAAGCCACAATAACAATTTAATTAAATTGTTATTGTGGCTATTGTGGTTATTGGTTACAATTGTAAATGTGACTTAGGCACTTCTTGCATTGACCCCTTCAATTATAGTATTAAAAATAATGAATGAACTTGTATTAAGGATATTAGGATCAAGATAATAGGATTGTGGGTAAAACTACATGCAAGGGAATATCCCGGCGCATTCGCCATTTTTATAAAAAGGCAAATATTTTCTTGCAAATTGCGCAAAAGTTCAAAAAACCTAACTCGGACAATTTTCAAGGTAGGAGAATGAATTTGGTCTTAACATTTGTGGTACTAAAAAAATAACTCAAATTTGAATTTTTCTTTCCGCATCTCATATTTAAATTAGATTTATGTAGATAATATTTTTGCATGATGAGGCGCCGTTTGTGTCAAAATTAAAAGTGCAAAATAAAGATATTTTGCTTTATAAATAATTAATTATATGCATTTTTTTACCAAATTATTTTTTTTATTAAATTATTTCTTTATCAACGTATTTTTTTATCAACTTATTTTTTTATGAAATAATTTGAAAAAAATAATTTTGGTAGGTAATAAAATAAGTAATAAAAAAAATTATTTCATAAAAAATTTATTTAATAAAAAAATTTGTTGATAAATAAATAATTTCATAAAAAAATAAGTTGATAAAAAAATAATTTGATAAAAAAATAAGTTGATAAAAAAATAATTTCATAAAAAAATAATTTGATAAAGAAATAATTTGATAAAAAAATAATTTGGTAAATAATGCATATAATTAATTATTTATAAAGCAAAATAAATTTATTTTGCACTTTTAATTTTGACACAAACGGTGCCTCATAAATTATGAGTCATAATGCGGAATTGATTATAAACTCGTTTTAAGAATTTAATTTTTTCTCCATTCAGAAAAGTCTTATGGGAGTACAAGTTTTGGACACCCGGTTGTATTAATTCTGAATAAAAGGTGAAATAAAAAGACATTTTTTTATATCCAAGTACCAAAATTATATTTAAAAAATGGCCATTAAAAAGTTTTTTGATATTATAGAACCATGAATTAGAAAAAAATTTTTAACAATAGATATATTCTATTGTCAACATGCTCTCTAAAAATTAATAGTTTTCAAAGCAAATCCGAAAAGACTGTCAAAAATTATGAAGGTAGAGCTGTTTTTGAGATATAGTCAATTCCATATTATATGAAAAATTTACTATATCTCAAAAACTGTTCTACTTTTTTTAACTTTTGACGACATTTTCGGATTCAGCGGATAATATTTCATAGGAATTGACTGCTTAATGTTCGGGATCAAATTGCTGTTGACGAGAATTATTAGTGGCAGCTTTTTCGTTATGAAAATTAGTCATTTTTGACTAATTCATTTTTAGAGAGTATATAATATATAATATATATATATTATAATGTAAAGTATATAAAACATTGTATACAATTATTTATTTATTTCTTTTTAGGGCCCATCTTAACGATATAGAAAACATCCCAGTCTTTTTCGTCGTTAGTTTCGCATACCTCATGACCAATCCTGCGGTGGGTTTTGCTACCATGCTGTTCAGAGCTTTTACAGCAGCAAGATTCGTCCACACATTTGTATACGCTGTTGTAGTCATTCCTCAACCCGCCAGGGCTCTCTCCTGGGGCGTAGGATACGCCATCACATGGTACATGGGAATCACCTCCATTTTGAATTTGTTGTAAATTATTATTCTATTTTTTAAATAGTTTTTGTATTCATTGTTTTTATATTCATTGTTTTTTTCTAATAATACAAATGTTTTTAAAGAGTTTATTATTTTTTTTACAATTTAAATACAGGTACCTACTAATACAAAAAACTTCTTTACATCAACAAGTATCAAATAAACTGCTAAATTACTGTAACGGCATACACGATAGAATGTATTGCCATATAGCCCGTAATTCCAAAGCCGGTAAACCATGATATGGCTCTAGCTGGCTGGGGAACCACGTACACTGCATAAACAAAAGAATGAGCCGTCCTAGCAACCAAATAAACAATAAACAAGGTATTGACGACCGCTGGATGTGGGTTGATGAAGAGATATGACAGAGCAGCTATGAAGAATAGAGGGATGTTTTCCAAGTCATTGCTGTAAGCTCTGAAAAAATGTATTTTGTTAAGGGGGTGGTATTTTGGGTTTTGGAATTTATATACCTTCTGACACGTTCAACTCTTTCGTCTGTTTTGACTACGCCTTTATTAAAAGCTGCGTCCTCAGAACTAATGTAAGCCTGTAAGAAATTATAATTATTAACACTTGGGTTCAAACTCTAAACCTCTGGGTTCAAACTCTAAATCTCTGTCTAAACCCTTTGAACTTCAAAGGGTTCACTGTCACAAGAAAAAAAATTACATACAAAATAGATGAAATCAATATTGAAATTAGAACAGTAAACACCTTCAAATATCAGTCAAATACTTTTCTGTTATTGAAGAGAAAGAAATAATATATTTTGAATGGTAATATTACAAATTATAACATTAAAGGACCACCCTTTTGGGTACCTACTTTTAAATATTGTTGCTTAAATAATAACTTTTTAATATTATTCACATTTAAGGGGGTTCGTGGTCAAATTTTAAAGCGTTTTCGGGAATTTTTGTTGAAATGAAGTTTTTTATCGTAACAACCCGAAAAATGGAAAAATATCATCTACTATGGAGCTCTATAGAGCTCTAGAGCTTATAAGTAGCATATTTTGCTTAATACACATTATTTAAAATAGAATAATACTTGTTTAAATTATAGGCATAACATCCCCAATAGTTTAAACAATTTCAAACTAAACAATATTTTTAAGAAATCCACAATTTTGCTCGAGACTTTTGAGATATTATTACTATGTAAATCAAATTTCGAAAAAAACTTCTAATATAATTTGGTTTAATCAGAAAATGAAGAAAAAAGTTTCGCATCGCCCGCGCCATCTGGTGGACTTCGAATGTATTGCGTGAATTTAAGAATTGTCAACAATAAATTTAAAGCACCGATTATATCATTTTTAAATAAATAGGTAGTTTTTTTACAAAAGAGAGAAAGACAGAAGTCTCACTCGACAAACTTTGTTCAATTGCACATAATTTCGATTGATTATTCTTTATATCATTGATTAAGAAACTCAACGCTTAAATGCTTATATAGTTACGTTAGTGTGTGTATTTTATCAAAGGGATAATGGTGAATTATTGTATTTTTAATTGTAAATAAAATTCAAGAACTAAATCGTTGCATTTTTATGTTTTGCCAAAGTATCCAATTCGGTAAGTACATTTGTTGGTGCAGAATTAACTAATGATAACTTTACCTAATATAATTTATATTTAAGTTTGGACATTTTTAAGAAATTAGTAAAAAATAATTTTTGCACGAATATAAAATCAATCATTTTTATATTTGAGTTCTCTGAAAAAACGCCGACAACTACATTTTAAACAACAAAATATACCTACGAATTCATGGCAACATAATATTATATATAATACATAATATAATGGTATTTTACCGCTGAGTGGAGACTTTAAAGAATTCTTAATCAACCCTTTTATAATTAATATTATAATAATGCTAAATGCTATTTAAGTTTTATGAACCTGAATATGGTTATATTCAAGATTTGACCTTTTATATTAACAAAAACAAAAATCTACCATTTCTTTGCTAAAAGTCTTATCAACTCTTCCAGACAAATCTTACTATTAGTATTACTTACTAATTAGTCTTAAGTCTTAATAAGTGGCGGCAGGTGGATTTTGGGCACACCCATATCTCAGTTATTAGACATGGAACCCACATCAAATTTATATGACAAGTTCTGCGCAAGCAGAATTTAAATTGAAGTTTGCGATAAAATATTAATATTTAATTCACTGAAGTTTATCGACAAATTTCAAATTTTATTAAAAAATTTCAAGAATTACAGGTTTTATACCATTTTAAATTTTTATTATTTCTTTTACTAAATTAAAAAAAAATAGAAATGGTATAAAATCTGTAATACTTGAATTTTTTTAATAAAATTTGAAATTTGTCGATAAACTTCAGTGAATTAAATATTGTACCACTTTAATTTGAATTATCTTTATTTTGGGGGCACACTTAAAAACTAACTTTTTTTCGAAAACTTCAATTTGAATTTTGCTTGCACAGAACTTGTCTATATAATAACATTATAAACTCTTATATATTTGGTGTGGGTCCCATGTCTAATAACTGAGATATGGGTGTGCCCAAAATCCACAAGCCGCCAGTCTTATTCTGACTTTTTCCGACTTGATAAGTCTTATTTTTTAAGAGAAGGTAAGACTTTCAAAACTCTTATTTTCATTTATTAAAAGTTTTTCAGAGAAAAACTTCCACAAGGGTGGTGAACAAATATCGGTGTGATGATGAAATTACTACGTACGGTTAAAAACAATTTATGGTTTACCAAGTAATTTGCACTTACCTTATTTTTTATACGATGCACAATTGTTAAAAATGTTAATGCAAACATTTTTACTATTAACAAATTCACACATATTAAATAGCTACAAAATGCTGGATTTTCAGTCGATAAAATGTTAAATGTACTGTTATTATTTGTCATAATTTTGAATATTATTGATAAATAAATAACCAAAATAGGTCGTTTAAATTTCTGACGGATTTTTATTTTATTAAATAATATAACTTCCGAACAAAGCACACCATTAATAGGAAAAGAAAAATAATATTAACAAACTGGTAAAGTAAAATATTGATTAAAATTTCAACGTACTAATATTAGTCCAATAGGAGTTTATTATACGGAATAATTTATGAAAAACACGTAAAGCAATATAGCTTGTTTAGATTAGATCTTAAGATATTTACTATAGAATTTGTAGATAATAATATTTTAATAATAATCATCTTGATTGAAAATAAAATTAATAGAATAATATTAAAATCATATAAAAAATAAAATAGAATATATCGGCCTGCTTGAATGAATGTTCACCAAATTACAGTTTAAAAGTCGACCAGTTAATCTAAGAACAAAATTAATCGTTGTAGGTCCAAGTAACAATTGTAAGATATTTTTAATTTATTTGTGGAATAAAAGTGCTTTAATAAGTTCAATAAATCGATATTGGTTTTAAAGTTACCTTAAGATAATTATTATTATTAATCACTTTAAACTAAAAGTAATTTATTAAAAAAACTATTTTAATCTATAGATCGTGCCATGTTTTACATAAAATACAGACCATGACATTTTCAATAACCAAAGAAAAAATCATATTATATTTTATTATTGAAAAATATTCGCATTTCATCCTCTTACATGACTAAAAAAACGGCTTGTCCAATTTAATAAAAAAAAAAGAATTTAGATGTTTGGATGCTAAATAAAATTTGACGATATTTTTTAAATATTTTTTGAATATGTAATAAAAAAATAAAAATATTAATATGATGGCGCTCCGGTTATGTAGAAGTATTTTATTATATTTTATCAGAAACGTGCCAGCCGTTGTTAATTTTTTTACCAGCAAAGTTTGCATTTGAATATTTTTTATGATCTGCTTTATATATGGCGTTATGTTTAAAATATTAATATAGTTTTAAAATTTAGTCTTGAAGATCCTTTTAGGATGGGCCCTTTTTGGATGGAAGCCGCTTTATGATGGTCCTAAGGCCTAAGGTCCTAAGACCATGGTAATCGCAATAAGAGCATTAGAGTTACTTGGATAAAATATTTTGAATTGAAAATTAGAGCCATATTCTAACTTAATTTTATGAATATAGCCATGGAATTTCCATTACAACCAGTGTCCAAACACTGGTCTTTAAATTAATATAATGAATATTTATTTTTTTACATTTATTTTATTCAATAAAATTGTTTACCATACAGAAAAATGTCTTTATCTATAAAAATATTTTTAAAATTGTATTAATTCAAATTATGACTTTATCAAAAGGTAGCTTTAAGAAGATATAATTTGATTTTAAACCTAAAAAAATAATAACTTAATTGAATTATACATTATCAATACCTAAACATCAACATATCCTGAAACAAAAGCATTTATGGCAGAGTGTATCGCCATATATCCCGTAATTGCAAAACCAATAAACCCTAGTCGGCTGTGGAATCACATACCCTGCATAAACAAAAGAATGCAGGGCAATAACAACCAGAAAAACAATAAACAAGCAGTTTTTTCGCTATGAAAATTAGTGATTTTTGAATAATTCATTTTTAAAGAGTATATATACTCTAATCCAGTGCCGTGCTTAAAATTAAAAAAAAATCGCTAATATGAATTCTTAAAAATTTACTCTTAAAAACTGACATAGTAGGCCTTGTATTTTTAAAAATATGGCGTATTTGCTTCAAAAATACAATTTATCAAGATCACATGGTACAAGGGAATCACCTCCATTTTGAGTTTGTTGTAAATTGTTATTCTATTTTTTAAATAGTTTTTGTATTCATTGTTTTTATATTCATTGTTTTTTTCTAATAATACAAATGTTTTTAAAGAGTTTATTATTTTTTTTACAATTTAAATACAGGTACCTACTAATACAAAAAACTTCTTTACATCAACAAGTATCAAATAAACTGCTAAATAATTTAGCCTAAATTACTGTAACGGCATACACGATAGAATGCATTGCCATATAGCCCGTAATTCCCAAGCCGGTAAACCATGATATGGCTCTAGCTGGCTGGGGAACCACGTACACGGCATAAACAAAAGAATGCGCCGTCCTGGCAACCAAATAAATAATAAACAAGGTATTGACGGCCGTTAGATGTGGGTTGGTGAAGAGATATGACAGAGCAGCTATGAAGAATAGAGGGATGTTTTCCAAGTCATTGCTGTAAGCTCTGAAAAAATGTATTTTGTTAAGGGGCTGATAAAAATTTTGGGTTTTGGGATTTACCTTCTGACACGTTCAACTCTTTCAACTGTTTTGACTACGCCTTTAGTAAAAGCTGCGTCCTCAGAATTAATGTAAGCCTGAAAGAAATTAAAATTATTAACACTTTGAATGGGTTCAAAGGGTTCACTGCCACAAAAAAAAGTTTACATACAAAATAGTTGAAAGTAATATTAAAATTGGAACACCTTCAAATATCAATCAATTGCAATTTTTGGTGACAAGTTTTGCCTCGGGTAAACTCGAAAAAACTGCTGACAGGTGCTGTTATACAGTTTTTCCACCTAGAAACCATTTGTAATTCAAAATTGCGCGTTTGTGATTGGTGGAAATTAAGACAAAGAAAATAATCTATATTATTCACATTCAAGGGGGTTCGGTCGTGGTGAAAGTTAAATTTTAAAGCGTTTTTGGGTTTTTTTGTTAAAATGAAGCTTATTATCGTAACTACTCAAAAAATAGCAAAATATGATATGGCTTAATAAATATTATTTAAAATAGAATATTTTTTTAAATTATAGGCATAACATCGACTTGGAGTTTTAAGAGTACCTACCCAATAGCTTTAACAATTTCAAACTAAACAATATTTTTAGGAAATCCAAAATATTGCTTGGGACTTTACTAGTGCCCATGTAAACAAAATTTCGAAAAAAAACCTCTTATTTAACTGGGCTTAAGCAGAAAATTTAAGAAAAAAAGTATCTCTAGTAAGAAAATAATAATGTAATATTTTTGTGAAATTAAAAAAAAATGTTTTCATCAATTACAGGTAGGTCTATTACCTACTAAAATTATTAAAATTGAAAGGGTTAAGTGATCAATGTTTAAAGTTCCATTTTAAAATTACATGTATGTGTTTTTCCATATAAAAAAAAACTTGAGTGCCATGGGGGCCAAGTCAGTGCCGGTTTAACAGGGGTTTTTTGGGGACTATAGCACCGGGCGGTAAATATTTTTGGGGCGGTATCGCGTACCGCCCATAATTTAAAAAAAAAATACTTAATCGTTAAAATTTAGAAAAAAAATTATTGCGACACTGCGTCGGCGGATACAACGGATACAAATAAGACAAATTTTGTTAGAGTTAAAGCAGCTTCTCCATCAGAAAAACTTGATTTATTGGAAACGGAATAATTTGAACTTTTTGGATAGACGTTTTGCAAAGGGTTAATGAAACCAATAAAGCAGTCCAAAAACAAAATATGGATTTAAGCACAAATGCTCATCTTTTGTCATTTTTAGTTGAGAACTTTAATTTTGATCATTACGAGGAAATTAACAGGAAACAAAATTATGCTCAGAAGCGGATAATCATAAGAAAATTACAATTTGAAGAAAATAATTCAGAGGCAAGTTTAAGCAAAAAAGAAACAATGCGAACAATGTTTTATTTTAATAATTGACAATCTATAATCCAAAATCATTTGTCGATATGATAGCTAGAAATCTGGCACAAACAAATTTGAATTTTTGTTTAATCTAAAAGCATAAATCTTCGTGGAGGATTTGGATGAGTTTTTTCCTCAAAAATGTGTCCAACTCAAGAAACTGATAACTTCCCTTTCGGAAATAAAAATAGAAACTCCATTGGAATTAGTATAAGTTTTATACGAAAATAAATTAATATCTTCATTTCCGAATATTAATAATTGTCTGCGAATTTTTTTTTATAATGGTTTCAAATGCACGTGAACGATCTTTTTCTGCTCTAAAAAGGGTAAAGAACTACCTAAGAAATACAATTCCCAAGAAAGATTTAACTCCTTAGCAATTCTGTCCATTTATCAAGACCTGCTAGATGAAATAAATGTAAAGGGTTATAAAACAATTTGCTACTATAAAGACTTGAAAATAACCTTTTAATTATTAGTATTAGGATTTCTCAATATTTATTTAAACCAAAGAATAATGTTTTATTTATTTATAACTTTTGATTAGTTTTTCTTAGTACTTAGTATTGTTTATATAAACCAAAGAATGTTTTATTTTTTAGTTAGTGCTTTTGATTAGTTTTTATAATTTGTTTATAAAGGCTCATTTTATATTTTATAGGATACTAAGTTTACTGTTAGATACCAGCATAACCAACCTAATCTTCCACTTGACGTGAGAAAGTAAAACTTAAAAATTTAAAAATGTTTTTAAAAAAGTAATATTTTAAAGCATTGGGCGTTGTGTTTTTGCCAGAACCGGGCGGCGAACTAACTTAAACCGGCACTGGGCCAAGTTAATATTAATATTAAGAGCTGAAAATTCACTGCAAATAAACAAATATTGGTCGTACCTATTCTAGTTTTATGGACCTGAATATGGTTCTATTTAAGACTTGACCTTTTATATTAATAAAAATAAAAATCCACTCTTCCAAAAGACTGACAAATCTTGCTAATTAGTTTTAAGACTTAATTCAGACTTAATAAGTCTTATTCTACCTTTTTCCGACTTAATCTTATTCAGAGTTTTAAGAGAAAGTAAGACTTTCAAAAATCTTATTTTTACTTTTAGAGAAAAATTAAAACAAGAGTGGTGAACAATATTTGAAAATATCGGTGTGAGGATGAAATTACTACGTAC